ATATGACCAAGGATGAGGTCATATGAGGTCATGCACAGCCATGCACAGCAGGTCACCTGACCATCCAATCCTTCCAGCAGGTTCCAGCACATGCCAAGGTATACCAGCTACTTCCATGTCATAAAGGCTTAGTCATGTCTCTTGACCAACCAATGAGCTGGTGCCCTGACACCTAGCTCTCTTGTGCAACAAGCCAACACCCAAAGCCAGTGCCTCATCTCTCACACAAGGAAGTGCTGGCTTACTAGGTATGTGTTTTGGTTCACCTCATGAAATCCTTGTTCACACCATCCTAGTCACAAGGAGCAGTCTTGCCAGTATCACCAGGAGTATGATGCTCAACACTGTGCCAAAGCAAAACTTCAGAAGGAAACATCAATCACATGCCTGAAGCAATACCAAGCTCACAAGAAGAAGCAGGAGATGCACAAAGAGACCACTGAAGTGTTGCTCTTGCTCATGCAGAGTCTCTAATCATGTTATTCTTGAGTTGTAACTACTCATAGCTAGGCACTTGGACTTGTAACCTGTCTTGGTCCATCAAAATGTACATGTTATGCTGCATGGTTACCCCTGGTGCTTGTGGAGTGGGGTAGGACCACCCAGGAGCTGGTTGTTGGCCTATACCAAGCATTGGCAGGAATGAGGTTGCAACTGGAACATGTTGTGGGGCTTGCCACCATGACACATTCTGCATCTGGGGCAGCAAGTTATGCATGGGCACAAGGGGCACACATTGTAAGGGCTCCTGAGGACTCAGTCTGTGGTCAGGGGGTGGACCTTGAACTTGTTTGGGTGGACAACCTTGTCTCTTAGCTGGCTTCTGGGCTTGGCCAGCATCTTGAGTGCTCAGAGTGGGTGTAGGAAGGGTGTCAAGTCAACAATGCTTGGCAGTGTGATTCTGGGATTCAAGCAGCTTTTGAGCTTGGTCTTGCTTGGCTCTCTCCTCTGCTCATGCTGCCATGGCTTGTCCAAGTTGCTTGGCTCACTGCGAGACTTTGTCAGCCAACATTTGTCAAAAGTAACATGTGCCAGCTATGAGTGCCTTGTGTAGCTGAACAAGTGCCATGAGGTTTGAAATATTTGAGGGGTTCATGATTTCACCTGAGAAGGGCCAGCTGTTAGGGCAACACAGGCTGACTAAGTCTGCTCACCTAAGAGTGCCAAG